AAACCCCTAAATTGTCATATTTTTCGAGGGCTGTCTCTTATACACATCTAGATGTGTATAAGAGACAGGAGTGTGTGTGTGTGTGTATGTATTTGTTTATTAGTTATTGGTTTGTTAATTTTAACAATTATTGGTATATGAGAAATATAGTACACTTAAAATAAATCATTAATTTTAAAAAAAGAGTGACTTTTCGGCGGACATCCATAATTTAAATTAAATGACCCTGAAAAACACTTAAAAAGCATTTATAAGTGCTTATGAGAGTGCCGGTTCTAATCTTGGCCCATTATGCACATGGGACCAAGGCCTTAAACGTCTCATCCGAAAGACGGTGTGCTAACACTAAAAGATAAGTAATCCCTCCCATTTTATACTAGACAAATCACTGTGATTTTATATTTACACTATTATTGGCGTTCAAGCTGTTGGTTGAAGTGAAATAAAATAAATCAATCAATAGATATTTTTTTTTGTTTTCAAATAGCATACTAGGAAACCTTTTTAAAATCATTATTACTATTGTTATTATCATAATTTATTATTTATATTTATTATAACTATACTGTAATGTATTTAGTGGTTTTTATATTGTATGCATTCACTCTATTGCTGGCGTCCATTCAGTTTGGGAAATAAAATAAAATAAATAAATAAGTAAATTATATTTTGTTTTCATATATAGGTTTATGAAAATGTATACGAGAAAAAAATGTAAAAAAAAGCTAGTAGGAATAAACAACACAAGAATTTTATAAGCCATAGAGAAGAACTATAACACAACCAGTTAATCTTACACATATGGTAAATGCTGCTGTTTATAGTATAATTTTGGAAAGTATCAACATTTCTTCATTGTATTATATTTCTTCATTGCATTATATTTCTTTATTACATTAACTAGGCCTAATTAACTGATTTATTAGGTTTTATTGATGTTAACCAATTTTTTTTTTTATAGAACATCAGATTCAGTAATTTTTTGAACGTTATTTTTTAGTAAAATGGTTATTCAAATTGTTGTGATAGAAACCAACCCTAATAATGGTAATTTGCAGTTACAAGTTACAATTACACATTGGGTATGATAATTCCTCATCTTCTTTCATTTAAAAGCACATTGCAGTTCTGAGGGCTTGTAAATCCAATGACTCTAGCTTGATTTGGTGCATTACATTAACATGTACAAGTAGTATTATTATATTATATATATATATATATGTGTATATATATATATATATATATATGTATATATATACATATACATACATTTATAATTTTAAAATAATTTATAAATTTTAAATATATATTTTTTTTAAATAAATAAATTACCATTCCATGATAGTGCTAAAGCAATGTTACAAACTTTGACAGGCAATTGCTAATATTTAAAAGATATATTTGTACACTAAAAATATTTTTGAATAAAATCAAGTGTGTACCTTGGCATTGTTCAAGAGATGTTGCCCCTGGTATGGGTGTTGCCAAGCCAATTGGACATGGGAAACACTTTGTCTGTCTCCCCCTTCCTTGGTATGTTCCTATCGGACAGGCTAAACAGCTCTCTATTCCACTTTCTGAATAGGTGCCCGGTTTGCAAGGTGCTGCAAAATAAAAATAAATAAATAAAAGTAGATTTCTTTTTAATTGTCATTTTCCTCAATATAACTAATAATTTGATTGTCATCGAGCAGCAAATAAATCAGCATTATTATATACTGCAAGCAAACTTGGTCTGCTCTATAAATCTATTTTCACTTATATTAGTGGTGGTTTTAAACATGAGAAAAACGTTGGTACGTTTATGCGCGATTCGGCGGCGATGGCTTAGACGACGAGGATGATAATATTAACTTTTAATAATAGTTAGCTTTTATTAACTCATAATATGGATCAGAATGAACGCATAATTTATAGATAGCCATGCCATGCTTTTATCTTATTGTAATGCTAGATTATTCATAATTCAAGGATCAATTTATTTGGTGTTTTAGATTTTACTGATTCAAGGATCAATTTATTTGGTGTTTTAGATTTTTTTTCTATGTTATCTTTTTTTTTATTATACTGTAAGTGTTTATTCACATACACAGAAAAAAAATGCAAATAGATTGTACTATTTAGCAAAAGATAAACACATGTTGGATTTAAAGAAAGAAGAAAACAAGTCAAGTCATTCAATAATTCATTTGTTTAACTTCACTAAAAGATTAAAAAACTATATTTTCCAAGCTTACCTTTGCATTCGAGTTGTGATTTGGCATATTCTGAGAGAGTCGTGCTTCCTTGTGGACACGGTGTGCACGATAATTGAGCCTCTTTAGCCTGGTAAAAGCCTTTCTCACATCTGATGCATGAACCATATTTAAAGAAAGTACCAGCAGGACAGTTAACTG